TAGCGGATTTAACAGCAGAGTAGATATTGCGGCGGGCGAAGGAATACGATTTGGGGGAGGGGGACACAGAGGCTAAATCTGAGTTTGTTCGGCAAAATGTCGAGCTCATCGGGAGTTGGCAATAGCATAGTTGGGCGAAGTTTCTGTGTTCTTCGGTGGAGATCCTAAAGCCCAGGGATGTCCTTCCTGTGCAGCTCCGCTACTGTAGCATACTCCGTAAGTGAAATAGATGAACAAACCTGTAAATGTAAAACGTACACAGAGAGATTATGATCAGATGAGATCGCGGAATTACATAGAAATGTTAGCATCCAATTGTTACAAAAACTAGGCTTTTATGAAAAAAAAATTTTAAGCTACAGGGAGTGTCGAGAATGCAAGGATAGTAGTTCTTCTTGCACTTCTTAAGAATGTTATCTATGCAACCATTAGATAAGGAAATCAGAGCCAGGAATAAAATTACAAATACCGGTTGGGAAGTCCTCATCGATATAAGTGCTAATATTTCCCGCCGTCTTGCGGATCAGGCGTTGGCTAGCCAAAGGCTCCGGTTGTGAATTCCTCAAAAAAATTCTCCTGCCTTGGCCTGGGTAACCTGGAAGTATTCCGCCCACATGCAAACCATGGAACATTTTCCTTTTTCATACAGAGTATTGTACCATGATTTGCTTGGAACACAGTCTGAATTCAGACGTTTAAGAAAATAATATTAATAAAGTGTGATGGTAGAGAATGGCCCCAGAGACTGACAATGAATAAATAATGGATTGGAATAAAAATAACTCTGTAGGAAACCCAAAATTTCGTGGAAACTTTTTATAGTTCCAAAAATGAGATCATTTTGATTGATCGACTCGTTTCCGTAATCATCGCTGACTCCTAAATAACCTTGAGTGACACCTATTGGATGGCTGTTATGGCATACAAATGAACACAGAAGGAAGTTCAGTTCAGTTTTACAATCATTAACCATGGACAGTCAGTCGTACGCTAGTTTTCTTTGATGTCTTGTGACTGCACATTTGGATGAACGTGTAAGAGAGGAGTGGAATGTTTAAATCAATCTCAGAGTGAAGGGAAAAAATCATGAACGCTTAGGTTGTGGGGATAAGGAGAAGATGCATGACTGTTTACTGCTCTCACTCATATCAGTCAGGGTCCTCAACAAAAGGTTGCGACGATAATGGTATGCGCAATACCCAACCGACTTAGTCTATGGAGGTCGGCCACTTGCTCCAGTTGGCGACCACCGTTACCTAAGATTCTAGCCTAACCCCGACGTTACTTGTCTGGTTTCCCCATTAACCTCATGGAATACCAAGTAGACAGTGGTGTTTGAATATCGACAGTTTACGTTTATCTTGTTTTCCTACTCTCCAAGTCTCTGCGCTGCACAGCAGCAGCAGCAGCAGCAGCAGCAGCAGCAGCAGCAGCAGCAGCAGCAGCAGCAGCAGCAGCTGCGTTCACACCCGACCCTTCACAAACAGATTTCGCGACGGCTTCACATGGATCTAAGTTGGCGAATAGTAATAATCTTCTGTTTACGTGCCGACACTTTATGTGTGATGCGTCCGACAGGTAGGATGCATCTACCCAAGTAGCAAAATTGATCTACTTCCTGTACTTTCCTCAGTCAGTACGAGGTTGATAGCTCGACCAATCCAGTCCTGTAGCATTACTTTACGCGTTGAAGGTGCTGAACGTATGCTCAATATAGCCACAATAGCACTGAATTTATCCACAAACGCTTACAACTTACCCGGATCTTTGCTCAGCAATACAGTGTGATCAACATGCTCTAGATCAGACCTTCTGCCACATAGGAGAAATCGATGCCAATATCCTCGCACGAGACCAGGGATGTTTCCAGCAATAAATCTCAACGCAACAGCTCGTTTCATTCAGTCTCGTAAACAAGTGTATGGGTATGTTACCTCAACGATCAACACGGATATATTTGGCCTCACTAAACGCAGGTCAATAAAATTACTTGTTTTCAACTACTTTTCCTCCCACTCTACACTGGTTAATACAGTCAGTTTTGTAAGCAGTAGATTGCACGAACGAAATTAGTCCAATCAGGGGGATATAACAAACGGGCGGGATACAGAAGAATGGACTGTTGGGCAAATGCCAACATCGCAAACCAGTTGAACCATGGAATTCCTGAGCCACTCCGAATCTGCTGCGGATTAGGGGTTCCTAATAAATAGGGTGTTGGTTTACTTTTTGCCTCCGAATCAAACTAATATTGACACAAGGCGCAACGGAAATTTCTTATGGAAAACTAACTGGAGACTCAGCCATCGATGACAATGAGAACTATGTGCGCACAACTGTACAGAATGTTGGCCATTACGGGTAAGGTAGATTTCGTCTGAAAATCGGATAAATGAGCCAGAACGATCTATACAGCAGCAACCAGTGTCGTTCTTCTTCTGTCGCACCATGAGCCAGTGTGTGTGTGTGTGTATGTGTGTGCATGCACAGAAGAGAATGAGAAATCTCATCGATCCGGAACACCAACGAACGAATGACTCATCGTATGCTAGACAGTCCTGAAAGTGAAGTCTACAATCACTAGTTTACAGTCACTATTTTGTCCGTGTTCTCAGAAGATGAGAAAATGACGGAATGGAGAGTACAGAGCATCAGAATCTGATAAGCACTAACGAATTAGTCAGCCAAACCTATTGATCGGTTAAATTGATTGATTCCTTGAATGAGTTTATCATGTAAGGAAAACACGAGGTTGAAAGTTCTTTAATTACCGTTGGGCTATATTGTATTGTATTTTATTGTAATGTAATTTCAACTTATTTTGGCATAAATCATACATTTGAAACAATACCTATTACGAGTTTCTAAGCCGTGAAACAAACATGCAATGGGATACTTTTCTTTTTCATTTTTACTTCCTCTTTATTGAATACACAATGATAGAATTTCCAGAAAGGAGAAGCGACCAATCAAAGGGCTGCCATGAGGAAAGTCAGGCGGTGGTGGTGGGGTTCGAACACACGTCCCCCGAAATTGATAATTTGGTGACGTTGCCACCGGGCCACTACCGCCAAAGTTTGGGTACACGCTAGCCGAATCCGCGGATGCTGGGTTCTTTATGATGATCTAATACAAGACGAAAGTTTTAGGAAATTGAAAATCGATCACAGGATACCTTCTCCTCTATATTGCTTTTTAATTATATTTTATTTTTAATTAAATATGCTTACCTACGAATTAGAACACAATCTGTTAGTTTTCTCTTAGTGTATATATCTATTTAGCATCACTGAGTAATACTGAGTGTTTCAAGTTCACTAATACTTATGACAGATTCAACATTCGGAGCTTTGTGTGTTGTGTTAGTGAACGAATATGACTGAATCCCAGCCTAAAACGAGGTAACACAATAGCCAAGTTTTGCATCTACACAGATGAATGTAACCTCACCCAACAGAACTAATTTTCCTTCGTTGAAAATCAATGCTTTGGAAATCATGTTTTTACTTGGATAAAGGTGGACTTGGTTTGATTATATGATAAGTTCTTCGTGTAAATGAAGCATGGAATAAAAAGCTGGGAAGCACTGAATAAATTTTTCGGCCTGGTTCACTCATCGATCCCACTAGGAATGGTGTATATTCAGAACTAAAAACGGTCACGTAGTTGAGCGGATAGCATGCTTGCTTCTTTCCTATGAGGTCCCGGGTTGGATACCCAGTTGGGTCGATGAATTCGCGCAGTGCTGATGAGACCCAACCAGGTCGCAACTGTTATCCAGTGCTTCCTAGCTTTTCAACTCATGCTTTTATTACATCAAGAATTCGTCATAGAATCAGGATTAATTGAATAATATTCATATTGGATCCAATCAAATGAAAATGTCGAATATCAATATTCAGGAGTAGTTGGAGTGCGCGTTATCAATCGTGCATACTCACAAGTACAAATGAGGATTTTCGGGAGGATTCAGTGATTTGACTACTAGTAGAGTTGGTGCGATTGTTCCGTTATCGTTTATGAGCAATTACATTAGCTTCATCATCAATGCTTGACTCAAATTTGTTGTGAACAACAAAAACAATAAAAAAAATAAAAATAGTAGTAGTTTTAGCAACAAGCCTCCATCGATTCAAGTTTGGCTCCCCAGGATCGGGGCAGGACCGATTCCAATGAATATTTTCTTTAACTGATTTGTATCTCCCAAGTTATTCGGCAGGTAGCAAACATTATGCTGATCAGAAATTTCAGATGTGGCTCATTTTATCCGTCAAAACTGCCTACAATGTAAAATGTATCCCAGTAAGTTCAAATATGGCGTTTTCCGCAAGATCGAATGTGCTTCGTCACCGTCCATCAAGTCTTTCTTAGACTAATTGACACCTGGGACTGGTTTCTACCACCGGTGAACGGTAAAACCAAAACAGCTGACTCTCCTTTCTAGATGCACAGACGATTCTGCAGGTGAATTCTGGTGAATGGGCTTATGAGTGACCAATAATCTTCGTAATTTGACACAGCAAATTAACTACAACTTAGTTTTCTACTCAGTATTGCGTTTTCGATCTGGTAAATCCACTGATAGAGACCCACTTCAGATGATTCTTTAATTAGGTTTCCATTTTTGACCCAATTTCCTCACTCTTTCTTGTCATCAAAAAGAGTCATGGCACATCCAAGGACATCAATATTCTCTCTATGGAAGGTCAGTGCATCTTTGCGTCAACTTCATTGTTCTGAAATACTTCACGGTTTAGCACTTAATACGTAGGCGTGTTTACGACAGTCGTGCTGTCGGTCTAAATGAGACACGTGCCACCGTTCTTTTAATTCAACTTCACTGGATCATTCATGGGGTTTCTATGTTGACGCTTGGCGAAGATGCTGATACCAATTGAGTCCGTTTGGTATTTATGAAGAAAATCGGAAAATACTTAGCAGTGGTCAGACGGTTAAGATTGCAGGCCCCCACTGTCGCCCCACTGTCGTGCGCTCAAATTCCACATCGACCACCTAGCTTCTTCTGCCTGTGTGTGGATTTGATGAAACAGGTATGATCTGGTGAATCATTCAAAACGATGTTCAGTGAATTCAGAGCTTACGATCAGGTGCGAACTTCAGGCTTCGAATTAGGCAGAATAAGAAGAAATTAGGTGGAAGTAGTAGTTTGCTAGCTTACTGTTTAACAAAAGGGTATTGTCACCACAAGGAAAAAGTGGCTCTGGAATATTCCAGATGATCTGTCCGTGATTTCGCATTTCGTCCTCAGATTTTTGGGTGAAACAAGTATGATGTGGCTCGAACTGCATGTCATCATCGTCAAATGAATATAAATGTCACGTACGCGCTTGTTGGTTGGCCCTTAGTAGCTATCTAAGCACGTTGCTGATGGCACGTATTAAGCGGTTTCATAATTGCTTAACATAATAGGTATGCAGAAAATTCAAAAAGGTACATGGAACGGAGTAAATTGGTGATCATTTGGAATAGCTATAACCCATGAGATTGAATTCATGTGCAGTGACCAAAATACAATGCTGTCACGGATAGCAGCCGGTCACCTAGGTGGAGGGTGGATTGAAGGTGCGAGCACTGAGGAACGGTAAACGTCCATAAATAGAAGCATGAATTATTAATACTGTTTTCCTTTTTAATCCTGCACAGTAAACGTGCTTTGAACTAACTTTGTGACATACAAACAAAAAAAGGTAACCGCATGATGAATCGTTATTCCACCACGTGTGCAAGTCACGTGATCAATTTTGACAAGTACATGACGCTGAATAAATCCAATGACCTGTTTCGAACGATAATATCTACTGTGCGTATTTTCGCACGAGACGATTTTGATAGGTGGAAGGCACCAATGAACGTTATTCTCAGTTTATGAATCATAGGGACCTAACTTGATCGAGTTCAAATCAAATTATATTTGGAATCTCATTGCTTAATTTTAGAATGCCGTCTCACTGTGGGATGAAAACGCGTGCGATCCCTCTTTGGGTTGCGTTCTGTGCGCATGAAACAAACGAGAAAAGATTCCCGATGGATTGAATGGCACGGTAATAACTAACAAGAAGCTGGATAGTAGTGTGACAGGATGAGGGTATACGGACCTCATTACTTGCACACAAGCTGCGAATGTTTTCAATAAAATTATGAATAGAAGTGATATTACTGTTTTCATGTAACTAACATGATCGGATTCATAGTAAAACAATAAAATCACTGCACTTGTTACGTCATCAAATATTAGTTTAAGATTTTCGGGCTGAGTTCTGATAACAGTTAGATCACCATTGCGAATTCATGTGATACATTCCTCAAACATATTTTTACGTCTTCTACCTTTCGCTACTCCCCGAGTTCAAGTTGTACAACCAAAACGAAGAATCAGTTGTGATACTAGTGTAATGCAATCTTTTTCCTGTACAATTCCAATCTTGCCTTTGTGTCAGTTATTTACTTACTGAATACCTTCTAGCTTCTGGGAGCAAGGAGTCGAGAAAATTTCATTGGCATGTCTTGATTAGTGCATCTTTTATGGGTGAGGAATATATTCTGTTCCACCAAGATGACTTCCCTAGGAGCACAAAATTTGGATAGTTTTTAGTTGTATTTAGCTTTATTGGAAAACACAAAACATAATCTCTATTAACGAGAATCTTTGTATCATCTGTTTGCAGATTCCAATCACTACAAAATGGATCATATTATACCTTGCATGTTTGGATCCCACTTTTGAAGCTATGGTTATATAGTCAGGCGAACCTAATCGCACACTGCTTACCTAACCTTCAGCGTTACTGCCCAATGACAAATATTTGGAGAAAGAACTGACTGTTTAATTGTAATTACGATAAAACTCTCAAAACTGTACTTTATGTGTAGTAGCTGATCTCTCGTTCAGCTAAGACAACAGATCTAGTCTGTATTCAATAATTGGTAACATAATGGTTTGGGGAAGTTCAATGAACAGCTACTAATAGAAAGTCTATTCATTCTGCAGTGTATATCGATTAGATCTCGTGGGAGCGCATCTTCATGAGCGGTAAGTAGAAGATCGAAAAATGGACATCACGTGGAAGGACTGTATTCTGGAANNNNAGGTTTTCGGTTTAAGCTGCATAGGAAATCTCAAAATAATAGAGAATACAAGCTTAGTACACTGTCGAATGTTGACGTAAAGAAAACATTGAGTGCAGTGATGTATTCTCCATTATACTGGCTGGT